AGGGAAACATCAGTGGGTCTAGGAGCCAGACCAGAATTGAACATACAACCTAGGTAAGTGCCCCAACTGGGGATGGACCCCACAAGTTGGTGTATGGAGACATGTTCTAACCAACCTAGCTACCTGGCCAGGGCTCAGTGGAAAGGTTTTAACATTTTGGTTTTTTGTTGTTGTTAAATTATTCTTAAGTATGTTTCCGATATTAAGGTAAATGGAATTTTAAAAATATTTTATTATTTTCAATTGTTTGCTGTTAATATATAGAAATAGAATTTCATTAAGTTTACCTTGTATCCTGATAAGTTACTACCAGAGTTTTATGTAAACAAACACGTCACCTAAGAATAGGGACAGGTTTTACTTGCACTTTTATAATTTGTATGCCTTTTATTTTTCTTGCCTTGTTGCACTGGTTAGGACCTGCAATAAAATGCTGAATTGAGGTTGTGAGTGTGGGCATCCTTGTCTTGTTCTGATATTCGGAAGAAAGCATTTAGTTTTTACCATTAAGTATGGTGTTAGCGTTAACTTTTTCATAGGCTGAGGAAGTCCCCATCTAATCCTAGTTTGCTGAGACTTGTTGAATTAATGAAGTCTTGTTGAATTTTAATGCTTTTTTTACATCACCATCAATGTTAACATCAATATAGTCTCATATACACTGTAACCAAAGACTATTACTAAGTATGTCTAAGAGAGGTACTCATCCTTGCTCTCCAACGTAATATGATATGCATCAAAACAGAAATGTTATATTTGGGATTTGGACATTACTTCGTTCCATTAGAAAACTGAGTTGTTGTTTTTTTTAAATTACCCTTCTACACAGTAAAAAAGCAAAGATATTAAAATTAATATTCTTCCTGATCTACCTCTTGTTTTACTAGTGAAAAGAAACCTAACAAAATTGTGAGATGTATTTTTAAGTCTTTCTCTCCCCCCTCCCAATTGCTTTTCAAGAGAATGGGGGGGGGGAGAGAGAGGGAGAGAGAGAAACATCAATGTGAGAGAGACATCAATTGGCTGCCTCCCATACACACCCTGACCAGGGCTGGGGATCGAGCCTGCAACCCAGGTTAACTGGCCCTTGGCCAGAATCAAACCCACGACTTTAAACTTCAGTCCACAGGTCGATGCTCCAACCACTGAGCAAAACTGGCCAGGGAATTTGAAAACAGGAAAGAGAAAATCACTCAAATGGATTTCTTTCCAGGCTCAATTTTATACAGTGGTGCCCCGGTTTTCGAACGTCTCCACTGACGAACATTTCAGTTTACGAATGCCCTAAACCTGGAAGGAAATGCTTGGGTTTTCGAACATGCCTCAGAAGTCGAACATGCCACATGGCCTCCGCTGAGGGCAAGATCCTGAGGCCTAGCTGTAGGCTGTTGATCCCTCGGTTTTCGAAGTTTCAGAACTCAAACGGTCTTCCAGAACGGATCACATTCGAAAACCGAGGTACCGCTGTTTGGTTTTTCCTTGCTTCATTGTTAGGTAATTGAAATCATACAGTATGTATCATTTTATACCCTGTTTGTTTTGTTTTCACATTTACCCCAATGATTTTTTTATAAGCATCCTAAATGTTAAAGCTAATTTTAATGTCTAGTTGCCATACTGCTAGTTAACTTACACACTGTATGCCACATACAGTGTACGTGGTAAAAAATGGAAATCAATAAACCTCAATTACCAGTCTTGATTACTCAGAGGTGGATTACCTAGGTTAGAGGTCACGTGTCACCTGCAGGTCGTGTGTCACCTGTATCATGTGTTTAATTTCGCCTGCACAATGTTTAAACATAAAAAAAAAGTGTTGCCCAGCCGGGCGTGGCTCAGCGGTTGAGCATTGACCTAGGATCCAGGAGATGGGGGTTCGATTCCCGGTCAGGGCACATGCCTGGGTTGCAGGCTGCAGTAGATCAATGACTCTCTTATCATTAATGTTTCTAGCTCTCTCTCTCTCTCCCTCTTCCTTCGTTCTCTCTGAAATCAATAAAGATATATTAAAAAAAAAAAAAGTGTTAAAACGAAACTGCCAATATTATAGAGCTTTTATTTTTTGAATTTTTATGAGTTTTTTTCCTGCCATACAGGAAACAATTGCCAGGAGGCAAGATCTCAAATGCAATATTTTACAGCTTTTAAATCTACAAAAATTGGAATCATTATTTAACTTAATAAATGCTAACATTTTGAAACAGAGCACTCACACACACAAAATACAGGTTTCTGACTTCTTTTGAAAATCAGGAAGATATGGCAACAAGTCCAAATGTCCGCATACTAGTTATCAGCTGGAGCTTAGTAGCAACTGCTGTCCCCATTAGATGGCACATATTCCCTTCCATTTGCTACAGTCCCTACCATCCTGTTGTGCCTTATAACCTGACAACTTCACTCATTCCTATTCCCTGGCTGGCCCCTGTGGCCATTAGAATCGGGAACCTCATTTTTTGTAGACACACTCTCTGGAGAAGCATAATGCTTATTCAGTATTCAAGTGCTTTGTTTAAATGTAGGAATTTTTTTTTTTTACCATACCCAAATTATAAATTTTGCTTGTTTTCTATGTAATAAATTGATAAACAGGTTGAGAGAAGAAATGTAAACACAGGCATCTTTTAGATGTTAACTAAGGTATATTAATTCACAGTCTATAGTTGTGACACATATAAAAGTAGGGACCAAATAAAAAAATACTTAACATTATGATTACAACAGATGGTTCTGGAGTTAAGGACTCCAATATATTTGTAGCTGTGAAGCCCTGGGTAAGTCATGAAAACTCTGGGCTTCAGCTTTCCCTTATGAACAGTAAGATAATACTGCATACCTATGGAGGCTGGGGGCGGGGGAGTGTAAACTAAGTAAGCCCAGGGAAATAAAAATGTTTCCTCATGCTCCCGCCCCCTAGTCATTCCCTCCGGCTCCCATTAAGGGAGAAAGTGCTATATGAGGAAGTTATTCCTTAGGATCTATGTTTAGGCACTATGTGAACAGAATCCTCAAGGGGGGGGTGTAGACTGAGAGCATCGAAAATCGACCAGCGAAGTCTATACAAACCGTTATAGTGGGTGTGTTTATACTGTATTCAGAACTTTAAAGAAACCCATATAAATCTCATTACTGAAGTTACCCTTTGTGTGTAATATAAAACTCAGTAACAAACAAAATGTAACCAGCACCCCTGTAAGTAGAGCGGACCGAGAGGGGAGCTGGAAGGCCCCAGGCGCGCCTTCCCTGCGGCACGTTCTCTCCCGGCCCAGTCCCCCCTCATCCGCATCGGGCTTGGCGACAAAGGGGCCGAACCGCAGGGACCCGCTCGAGCAAAACACGCGCGGCCAGAGACGGAAGGGCCCTGGGCTACCTGGGAGGACGCGGCCCGCGCCCCGCGGGTTCCCCAGGAGGGGACGGGCACCCACCGGGGGCGGGGACCGGGGCGCAGACGCGCGTCAGCGCAGCGCCCGGCAGAACGCAGG